ACTCCTGGCTCTGCACTAAGAGATCATTCCTGGTGGGCTCAGGGGACCCTGTAGGGTGCTGGGGGTTGAACCTGGCAGGCTCAGAAGGCAGCCGTCAGACCCCCTTACTCCCGGAGGAAAAGAGAGCCCAGAAAAAAAACAAACCAGCACTAGGCACACCCCAGCTCTTCCCTGCCCTCCACCCCCACATTGGAGCTATGCCCCTGCTTAGGAATAAATGTTCAACAGAGGGCTAAGTAAACACATGGGAGCAGGTATCCCTTTGAATATTGGTTCCATTTCCCTTGGATAAATACCCAGAAGTGGAATTACAGGATCACATGAAAACTTACATTAAAAAAAAAAAATTGTGGGGGAGGGTACAAACTCAGTTGTGTTCAGGGCTTCCTCCTGGGCTCTGCACTAAGAGATCACTCCCTGGTGGGCTCAGGGGACCCTGTGGAGTGCTGTGGGTTGAACCCGGGTGGGCTGCATGCAAGAAAAGCACCCCACCTACTGTATTATTTCTCCAGCCTGGGAGTTTTATTCTTAGTTGGGGGGGGGGGGGGGGAGCTGGGGGAAAGGGGTTAGGATACACCCAGAGGTACACAGGGGTGACTCCTGGCTCAACGCTCAGGAATGACCCCTGGCGGTGCTCAGGGGACCATCTATGGGTGCCAGGGATCTGAGCCAGGGTCAGGGCAGCTGCAGCGCATGCAAAGCCAGGGCCTCTCCCGTCCTGTCTCTCCCACCCTGTTACTCAGCACCCCGTGAGGAGGCACCAACTGTTGGCCACACTCAGTTATGCTGATTTCCTGTACTGCGTTACATCGCCAGCGGCAGTGCACAAGGGAGTCCTTCGTGGTTGTCATCTCCTGCCTTCTGGACCACAGCTGTCCTCTGGGCACACAGGGGAATTGCCACATGGTTCTTGACAGGCTAGGGCCCAGTGACCTGGGATGGCTGACTGCTGGTCATCTATATGGGAGGAAGAGCAAAAGTCTCCTGGGGGCGAAATAGTCAGTTCCTCTATGGCTACCCCTAGCCCCACTGGCTCTGGCACCTGCCTGAAGACAGGAAGTGCCAATTTCTGGGAAGGGCAAGTGCAGGGACCATCCCAGGTAACTCAGAGGCATCCAGGATTCTGCAAGGAGCAAGTTGGGAGACAGGAAGAGGCAGCTCACCAGGCTGGGAGTAAGGGAGCAGGGCCCAGCCTGCAGGCCTCCACGGCTGTCAGCCTGTCTCTGGGCAGGGCCGGGCTGGAGAGTCCCCGGGGCACCCAGAAACTGTTGCACTGGGAGAAATGTTCCTGGACAGGCCAGCGCCATCCCAGCTGGGGACCAGGTGCGCCGGCAGCAAGGTCAGTAGTCACACCAGGCCTCGGCGCTATCCCGGGAGGGAAGGGGAGCGAGGACCAGCCAACTATCGAAAGGCTGGGGAGAGAATTAATTTGGTAAATAATATTTAAATCAAGGCGTTATTTTTAGATTTTTTTTCCTCCAAACTCAAATTGGCTGAAAGTACTTTAATTATTCCATAATTGCCTGGATTCGTGTAGTCCTGTCCCTAAGGGAAAGCCTATTTATATGTTCTGGTGGGTGGGGCGGGCGATTTTAGGGAAGGCCAAGATCCCGCAGAAGCGGGAGATGGGCATGGCCAGGTACTAAGAACCAGGTAAGTGAGGCTGGAGTGACAGTACCAAGGGCGTGGCCTCTGCCTCGAATGCAACCGACCGGGGTTCAATCCCCGGCATCCCATATGGTCCATGAGCACTGCCAGGAGGGATTCCTGTGTGCAGAGTCAGGAGTAACACCTGAGCATCACTGGATATAGCCCCCCACCAAACAAACAACAACATCAACAAAAAGAATCACTTAAGTGGCCCGCCAGGAAGACTAAAAAGGGTTAAGGATTCACACTCTCTTCAGCCTTCCCGGTTCCCACCCAGGCTTCTGCAGGCAAAACAACAATCTGGAAGACAGACAGGCACCAAAGCGAGCTCCTCCAGTAGACACAAGGGCCAGGAATATTGCCCCATAGCTGGAAGCCTGCCTCATGAACTGGGAGAGAAGGCAGCTAGAATAGAGAAGGGATCACTAAGACAATGATGGTTGGAGGAATCTTTCAGGATGGGAGATGTGTGCTGAAAGTAGATAAAGGACCAAACGTGATAGCCTCTCAGTATCTGTATTGCAAACCATGATGCCCCAAAGTAGAGAGAGAGTATGGGGGAAACTATCTGCCATAGAGTCAGGGGGAGGGTTGGGAAGGATGGGGGGGAGGGAGATATTGGTCACATTGGTGGTGGAGAACGTGCACTGGTGGAGGGATGGGTGTTTGATCATTGTATGAATTAAACCCAAACATAAAAGCTTGTAACTGCATCTCATGGTGATTCAAAAAAAAAAAAAGAAGAAAAGAAAATTTAAGTGAAGCTGGAAAAAAAAACCAATTAAGTAGACTCCTCACATACCCCCAAACCAGGAGCTGCGTGAGGGGTGCAGCCAGCTGAGCAGGAAGGAGCAAGTGCTGAACTCCAACCCCAGGAGGGCTGGGGGAGGAGGGAGAGAGGGAGAGAGAGAATGAGAGAGAGAGAGAGAGAGAGAGAGAGAGGGAAAGGGAGAGAGGAGAGAGGGAGGGAGAGAGGGAGAGGGAGAGAGGAGAGGAGAGAAGAAAAGAGAGAGGGAGAGAGAGGGATGGAGGAGAGGGAGAGAGGGAAAGGGAGAGGGAGAGAGGAAGAGGGAGAGAGAGAGGAGAGAGGGAGAGAGGGAGTGAGGGACAGAGGGACAGAGAGGGAGAGAGGGAGGAAGGGAGAGAGGGAGGGAAGGAGAGAGGGAGGGAGAGAGGGAGAGAAGGAGAGAGGGAGGAAAGAGGGGCTGGACTAAGTCCCGGATGCAGCAGGGAGCATGCTGGCTGCAGTGCTCCTGGGCCCTCGGAGTAAGTGTCTCCAGCTTTGTCCGGCTTCAACTATTCATCCCCACGAGAGCCGGGACAGGGGCACAGCCAAGGTCCCTGGGGAATGAGCGGGTCCAGGAGGCCAGCTGTGGGACCTTCTCCACCGGGCCTGTCACCGTCCCGCCTCCCTGAACCGGACAGCCTCTGTCACCTTTCTCCCAGTTAATTTCACGCAAATTCAATTGGGCCTGGGCGCGGGCGGGGTCCGAGACACACACTCGCCAGAATCCAATTAACCTCCGAGAAAGGTCCCGAGTCACGGGGAGGCGTGCGGCTGGCGGGCTGCCCAAGCCACATGACCTTTCCCGCTAATGAAATCAATGGCCGTCACTGCTGCTGCCAGCTCGACAGCGACTGGCAAACACACCCGCCTGCCGAGGCCATTGGTTTGGTCGTTAAAGTCCAAGCCCGGTAGGGAGGAGCAGCCCTGGGCAGGCCCCCTGGGCAGGTGGCTGCTGGGAATGTCTGTGCCCCTCTGTGCATTGTTTGAAATGCAGAGTCGCACACCCACACACCGGCCTCCAGGGGTCCCACAGGCTACTCCCAGCATCACCAAGGCAGCACAGCAGAGCCTCTGTCCCTGGCCCACTGTCCAGCCTGGAGTCCCCACAGCGGGAACCCAAAGAGCTTCCTGTGCAGGCTGACCCTGGAAGTCAACAGCCAGGAACCAAGCAAGGGGTTAAAGAATTTAGACTGGGGCCAAGCAATAGTGCAGCGGGGAGGGGGCCTGCCTTGCACACAGCCGACCTGGGTTCGATCTCCAGCATCTCATGTGGTCCCCTGAGTCAGGAGTGATCCCTGACCACTGCTGGGTATGGATCCCCCCAAAAACAAACAAAAATAGAATGACTGGACTCATTTGTGGGATATAAAAGACAGCATAGTATGAGACTAATACCCAAGGGCAGTACAAAGAGGCGCGAAGAGAACTGGTCCATGGTTGGAAACTTGCCACGGGGCGGGGCGGGGGGGTTAGCTAGGATAGAAAAGGGACCACTATGACAATGATAGCTGGAAATGATCACTTTGGACAAGAACTGAGTGCTGAAAGTGATAAAGGGACAAACAACATTTCAGTACCTGTATTGCAAAGCCTAATGCCCAAAAGGAGAGAGACAGAGACACAGAGACAGAGACAGAGAGAGAGAAGGAAAATGCCTGCCATAGAGGCAGGCAGCAGGCAGGAAGGGGACATTGGTGGTGGGAAATGTGCACTAGTGAAGAGACAGGTTGGGGAACATTATAGGACTGAAACCCAACCATGAACAGCTTTATAACTGTGTTTCTCATGGCGATTCAATTAAAAAAAAAAAAACAGAAGAGAACTCTGTGTGGAGCCCCCCAATCTCCCACGGCGAGTGGACACAGAACTACAAACACGGTGAGTATGGGACTGCAGCCCCAAGGCCGAGCCACACGCTTTGCCTGTGGGAGGCTCAGATTCGACCCCCAACACCACACGGTGCCCTGAGCACTGCCACAAGTGACCCCGAAACCAGCAAATGGACTTGGCTTTTAAAAAAAAAAGTACAAATCCACCTCTATCTGTGAGGCCCTGGGAATGAAAATGGGGTTCAGGTAGCCCCCCGTGACAGGTTTTCTCCATGACCACTGGGGTGGGAACCCCGAGACAGGAGCTGCCCCCCCTTCCCCATCTGTGTGAACTCGATGGTGGGCAACAATGGCTGGAACCCCCGCATTCTGCAGAGTGACCAAGACAGAGGGGAGCAGGCAGGAGGCCACATCCCTACCCTGCAGGGCAGGACAAGTTTCCCACTGTGGCACCACCAACCCCGTGGCAGCTCTGCACGATGGGGCTAGGAGGATGTAGAAGGCGACGGCCGTGGCCCCCTACTTGCCAGGAGGAGCTGCGGGGAGACAGTCTGCATTTGTCTCCTAGGTAAGCTCAGACCCACTGTCCAAGAGGGGACAGACGGTCATGCTAGCCTGGGCAGGACCCTCTGTGTCGGAGACTGGAGGAGTCTCTGGTTGGGGCTGGGTGGGTGGGTGGACAGCAGGACCCCTGCCTGTGCGGGCAGCACCGGCCGGCCTAGGCTGGCCCTCACCTCGTTGACGTCGATCTTGTTCCTCTCCATGTAGTCCCGGTCGTTGACCTGCCCGCCATCCACAAACTCCATCAGCAGTACCCGCTTGGTGGACAGCTCCCAGTAGATCCGGGGCACCTGTGGTGGGACAGTGGGGTGGACGTGGGGAGGTAGGATGGGGACAGAGAGCAGCATACACCCTCTCCAGCAAGGGAGGTGCACGGCCCAGGGCCCCTCTTGCTCACCAGCCAGAGGCGAGCTCCCTGCGCCGAGTGCTGCCTCCACATACAGTGAAGGGGGCGGCGGGGGGGGGGGGGGGGGGGGGGGGAGGGTGCGGGAATCAGGACTAGGGGGTGAAGTGCACAGAACCACTTTGAAAGGCATCCCCTACCCTGAGAAGCAGACCCTTCGCTGAGGCTTAATCACGCACAGGCACTGGAAGTGGCACCGGTGTGCAGAGACGGTAACTCCATTTCCAGAGTTACGAGCGCAACTGGGTGCATGGTGCAAAATTCGCTTGCCACATGGTCTGTGTTCGGGCAGAATTACTTACTCGGGAGCCTGAACCCCACCGTTGTCTAGGGAAACGGTGCGTGGGCTTGTGAGCAACGGGTCAAATCGTTCCATTAATTATTTACCCATTTGGCATCCTCATTTCCAAATCGTGTCTGGTTATTATTACTATTACATGTCTTGGTCTGGCAGATGCTAGCTGGCCCCAGCCAGGGGACCATTCTGCTGTTGCCATGGGAACGAACAGTGGAGATGCTGGTTCTGTTTGCCTGGCTCATGGCTCTGGCTCGAGGAGCACCCCAGCCTGGGAAGAGGCAGCAGAACCTTCGCAGACGAGCGTCGGGTGTCACGAAAAGTCTGGGTGCCAAAACCAGGGCCCACACAGAAGGTACCAGGGGAGACAGAGCATGACTGTGGCATTCGACATGTGTAGGGAGGGCTTGACCCCAACAGGAAGGGAAACGAAAGCAGAGATAAACAAGAGAGACCTACATTAAATTGAAATGCCTTTAGCTTAGCTCAAGAAAATATCTAAAGAATGGAACGACAGCTGACTGAATGGAAGTAAATATATGCACACCCTAGATCCAGGAAGGGGTTAACAACCAAAGTATATAAAGAACTCATAAAAGTTAATAAGAAAACACACCAATCCACCTTCCCCCCAAAATGGGCAAAAGTTCTCTCTCTCTCTCTCTCTCTCTCTTTCTCTCTCTCTCATATACCCTGGTGATGTAATTAAAAGTCTTGGGAGCTTAACCCCATTTCCCCACATTCCCTGTCATGTCTACTGCACACAGGTACACACGGTGACGATTTCTCAGACACGGCAGAACCAACTGCATATTAATTGAGCTGACAGAGTGGGAGGAGCCAGAGTAACAGCCGTGTTAGCTGTTTGTGCTGGCGTCCAGGCGTCAGAGCCAGAGACCTTGGCATGATGCTGTTGGGGAGGGCCCAGTGTCCTGCGACTGGAGATCATTTAATAAACCTCCACTCAGTTGAATGGACGGAGAAACTGTGGTATGTATGCACAAGGGAATTCTACGCAGCCTTAACAGATGATAATGTCATGCAATTTGCTGCAACATGGACGGCTCTGGAGAGTGTCATGTTGACTGAAAGTAGTCAGAGGGAGAGGAACAGGCTCAGAAGGATCGCTCTCGTGTGTGGGATGGAAAGAAACCTCCTAAGGGAGTATGAGATGCCCAATGGCAATAGAAACAAAGAGCTGGAGAACTGGTCTCCAGTAGGAAGCTTGGCACTGGGGCAGGGGTGATGGGGGTAGGGGGCGGATAAGTTAGGGAAGGGAACAATGGGGGAGGGGAAAGTGCCTGCCACAGAGGCAGGCTGGGGAGTGGAAGGGAAACTGAGGACACTGGACACTGGCAAGGGGTAGTGGGTACTGGTGAAGGGACTGGTGTTGAAACAATATACACCTAAAACTAGAAAAAAAAAAAAAAACAGAAAACCTCTGCCCAGTTTGACTGTCAGGCCAACCATAACACCCGCATTTCTTTATAACTCACACTGACCGGTCACGTGACCTCAGAAAGCAGATCCAGGAAGTCACTGGCCTCGTGGGTGCTGAGGGGGTCCTGTACTCCTGCACCCAGCGCCCAGCGCCAGCACCCTGCCCCGCTTACCTTCAAGAAGTCGAAGTGCTTGAGCATCTGGGCCACTTTCTCTGCATTCCTCCCTTCGTTGAGGAAGTCCAGCTCCAAAGGCAGGTTCTTCTTAGCTTCGTCCACCAGCCACATGAACTCAAAGTCGGGGAATAGCTTCTTCACAGCCAGGACGAGCATCTGCAAACCCACCAAGTCCCCTATTCTGTTGGTTCATCCGACATCCCCAGCACCCCACCACCAAGGCAGGGAGTACGAACCCCACCGTCCCACCCACGGCTCCCCGGGAGTGGGCTGGGTGGGAAGCAACACTCGCAGGGCCCGTGTCTGTAGTCAGGTTCAAGGGTGACAAATGCTGCCCACCAACTGCAGAAGGAACAGTGACCACCTTTGAGCACGCCCAGGGTCCAGCACCTCTTCAGCTTCCCAGCTGGTCCTCACAGAACCTCAATTTCCTGATGGTCATGTTGGAAGAACGCGAACGATCAATGCACACCTGGCAGGGTCCACGGTCTATTTGGGGTCTGCGGGTGTCAGCCTACTGCCCACCAAAGTGCCAAAACTGTCCACAGGGGGCAAGCATGGATGTGACTACAAAGTGAGGCCAGCAATGGAAGGACAACCGGGTCCCAGCTGTCCCCCGCCTCGTACCCTCCCTGCCAGGGCAGACTCTGGCGTTGGGCCCTATTCTGGAAACGAATGAACAGACACCAAGTGTCAAGTTTGGGGTCCTTAGAAGTCCGGTGAGGTGCCTGGGCGCACAGGCATACCGCAGGGACCTCGCTCTTGCTTATTCCAATCTGTACCTGGTCAAGCCGGTTCTCTCCTCCCATTTCATGGGAACTGGAAGTTCCCTGTCCGCTAGTTTGGTGAGGACTTGGATCAGCCCCCTGTCCTTCCAGCAAGTTCCATCTGACAGATGTGGCAGTGGAGACGCTAACACAGTGTGTGAAGTCCCTGACTTTGCCCGGCAAGGCAGCACTGAGCTGGAACCCCGAGACCTTGGCTCTGCAGCGCCAGGTTGAGAAACTAGAGGCGGGCAGGAGGGCACTGCCCCACAACAGCTTCCCAGAAGCTATTTCTTTTTTAGGGAGTACATCTGGCAGTGCTCAAGTCTTACTCCTGGCTCTACATTCAGGGAGTCACTTCCTGGCATGGCTCTGGGGACCAAATGGGGTGCTGGAAATCGAACCTGAATTGGCCGTGTGCAAAGCAAGCCCCCCGTCCACCGAACCATCCCTCTGGCCTCTCCGATGGCTAAGTGCTAAGCTGTGTACTTAGCACCTGAACATTCACGACACTTATGCTATTCCCCACACATTTTTGTACTTCTGGAATCTTCCAGGATGGGAGAACTCTAATGAGAGGACAAAGCAAAGTTGGAGAAGAGAACTGGCATCAGGCCTGGGGCATTTACACAGCTGCACAAGAAGCTCAGACACTCCACAGACTCATTGAGTGAGGCCGAGAGAAGGGCTGTTTTGAAGACTTTTCTGGTCGTTTAGGGTCAGTTTCATGGTGAGAGATCAGGGACATCAGAGCTAGTGTTGGGAGGTAAAGGTGTCTCTCTTCCATGGGGTTGCTTCAGTCAAACCTTAGTTCAATTCCCATATATAGCCTGGAGTGGTCCCTGAGCACCCCTGGGTGTGGCCCCCCCAAAAAAACAAATAATTAATAATTACTATTTGCCTTGTATGCAGCCGACCCAGGTTCAATTCCTTTCCTCCCTCTCAGAGAGCCCGGCAAGCTACTGAGAGTATCCTGCCCGCATGGCAGAGCCTGGCAAGCTCCCCATGCGTATTCAATATGCCAAAAACAGTAACAGCAAATCTCACAATGGAGACGTTACTGGTGCCTGCTCGAGCAAATTGATGAACAACAGGAGGACAGTGCTACTATAATAATTAACAATTGGTGTGAGACCCTACATGGGAGCAGAGAGCAGGAGCCCTGTGGCATCTGCAGAGCACGTTGCAGAGCCCTCAGAGGCCAAAGACTCAGGGCGCAGCTGGGTGCAGGTTCCAAGTCAGTGGTCAGGGGCTCAGGAGGGGGAGCAAGGCGGACATGGGCCACGGAACAGCATCCTCGCAGGGGAGCACAGAAGGCAGCGCCCCCCCCCCCCCCCGAAAGTGCTGGTGCTGGTCTGTCCCAGGGGGAACCAACCTGCCCCGCAGTTGTTCTCTGTAATATGCATAGTCCCAGAGCTCCACGAACCACCACTCCCACCCGTGCCAACAGCAGCAGAGCAATCTGCAAGAGTTCAAGAAGCGGGAGGCTGCTGATGCCGGGAGACAGTCACCCCCTCCTATGATGGACTGAGCCCCTGCTGCCTCCTCACCGACTCTTCCGCTGCAGGGTGGGGTCTTCAGAAGGGACTGGGGGTGGCAATGAGATTTATATGAGGTCAGGGAGGGCTGGGGATACAGTCCAGTGGCAGGGCACTTGCCTTGTGAGATCTTCAGTTCAGCCCAAACATGGAAAACCATGAAAGAATGAATGAATGAGTGAATGAATGAATGGGATCGGGCCCAGAGACATAGTACCATGGGTAGGGCACCTGCCTTGTATGCTGTTGACCCAGATTCCATCCCCAGCACCAGCGCCCCTTATGGGGTGCCCTGAGCACAGTCAGGGGTGATCCCAGGGAATAGAAATAAGCCCTGAGCACCTCCGTGTGTCACTCGACCCCCCCAAAAAATAAACAAATATAGGACTGGAACAACAATGCAGTGGGTAGGGTGCTTGCCTTGCACACTGGGTCACAGCTGACCCAGATTCAGTCCTCCACATCCCCAGCCCAACACAAGAGACCCCTGAGTGCAGAGTCAGGAGGAAGCCCTGAGCACTGCCAAGTGTGGCCCCAAAGCAAAACCAAACAAATGAATAAGGCATGAATGCAGGACCCCAGTGACAAGACTTCTCGGGAGAAGAAGAGAGGACAAGAAGGCTGAGCTCGCTCTGGGCAGTACCAGAGGTGGAGGGAAGGAAGCTATCTCTGACGCAGGGAGAAAGTCCCCATCAGGAACTGGGGGGTCGGCACCACGCTGAGAAACAAGTATCTGCTGGGTCAGTGTCCTCCTGGCCACCCCCCTACCACCCCCACACACACCCCATCTATAGCACAGTAGTTTCAGCAGCCTGAGCCCTAAATTCCTGCTCCCCCCAGCTGGCAGCCCTGCCCTCTGCTGCTCTCTGCCCTGCCGATGGTTAGCATGCCCCACGCTGTTAGGCATGTTCCATCGAAAGAAATAAATCTAAAGCAGGGCCATTAACTACAAGGCATTTACAGCTTTGTTTTCAAACCCTGTGTCCTCGGCAATGTACCAGACGCCATTCTGAAAGAATCATCACATGGGGTTATTATACTCAATTTCTCCCCAAACCCATTTTAATCACCTTCGGCGGCAGTCTAATTTCTTTTAAGTCTTGTCGAGCCCTTCATGGGTTGGACCTGGGACCTTGTGATAATCAATTTCGCTTACATTTTGCTTCTGGTCCAGTCACATGGAACTGGAGGGGGGGAAGTGGTGACCGCCAGGTCCAGGTGTGTGGGGTCAGTATCTCCCGGCCCTGCCTCTGCCTCATGTCCTCAGGTGGACTTCCCGGGGATGCAGGGCAAACGCCCAGCAGACAGAAGGACCTTCCTGAGCTGACCCGAGCATCCGGGAGATCCAAGGTACCCACATTCCACTCCCTGGGTGCCAAGGCCAGGACAGTGACTGCTATGGACTATGGCCCTGCTAAATGCCAGAAGTACAGAAGTTCTCAGTGAAGAGGGTCAAGGGCGGGTCTACAGCGAGGGTCACTCACATGCTCCCTCAGGAGTGACCACCCACCTTCATGTAATCTCCTTCAGCCACCTCTGGGTACCACCAGGCAGACAAGCAGAGCCTGTGCGAGGGGATGTGGCTTCTGTCCAAACAATAAGCCCTCATCATCAATTGTCTGGTCACGACTAATTGTGAAGATTTTAATGATCATAAATGTCCGAAGAGTACTGACAGATATTGTAAAGATTTTTCTGTTACTCATCAGTGATAAGTCATTGTGGATACCTAATGTCATTAATCATAAAAGCAACGATTTTATTGACTTATACTAGTTTTAATAACCAATTCCTAAACTAATTCATAACCACTAAGCCTTGACTTCACTTGTCCAAGTAGGTTTCCGCAGCACTCGGGTGAGTGGGTGCAAGTGGGTCTCTTTCAAATGTAAGGGGCCGGAGAAAAAATACATCAGTAAGGGCATCTGCCTGGCACACCGCCGACCCAGATTCAGTTCCTGGCACGCCATATTTCCCCCGAGCCCTTCAGGAGTGACCCCTGAGCACAGAGCCGAGAGTAAACCCTAAGCACAGCCAGGTGTGGCCTCCAAACAAACAAATATATCATATGCAAGGCTATGTCTGAATGGGATCTTTATAGGGCACTGCCAACTGGATATTCTGATGCCAGCTATGAAGCCCAAAAAATGCACATCAGTTCACCAATAATTCAGGAGGTGTACAATCCCTAGAATTTCAAAGGGGTAGGAAGAAGGGCAGAAAAGATTTGCCAAGTCTAAGTCAAAAACGGTTTGTCTGGACCGAGAGTTAGTCCAGTGGTCAGGGGGTAGGTTTGCCAAGCTCTGGACACAGGCTCAACTGACCTCCTGAGAACCCCTGGGTGTAGCCATAGGGTTACCCAGCCCTGCCAGTGTGCCCCGGTGGTCCCTGCACCTCAGGCTTAAAGCAGCCCTGCCTCCTTGGTCCCCAACACTGAACCACTGCTGGGTTGGCTGAGTATCCAAGAGCGGCCTTGTAGCCCTGGAGCACTTGTTGGGAGGTCCCACAAATTTTTTAATTAAAAGAAAATTTAAAATGGGTTAGAGTCTAGTACAGCAGATAAGGCACTTGCCTTGTACATGGTTGGTACAGGTTCGATCCCCAGTATCCATTATGGTCCCCCAACCCCCACCAGGAGTGATTCGTGAGCACAGACCCAGAAGTAAGCCCTGAGCATCACTGGATTTAGTCAATAAATAAATAAATAAATAAATAAATAAAATGCTCTGAGCTTTTTGCCATGTGCTATGTCTTTTGGCTAAGGCAATGGAAATAAAGCTCAAGCTACCTTCTGTTCTCAGTTAATTCTCTCTTTAAGAAATCCTTCCCTAAACTGATCAGCTATATGCAGAAT